GCCTAATGCCTACCTATACTAATAATAGAGGATTATGAAAATTGTTCAGGACACTGTCACGGTAACTGTTAAGTAATGACCAGCAGGCTGCCTTGGGCAACATAGCTGACAGGGGAGTTAGTGAGAAAGGACCAAATGACTGAACAGCAGGCTGTGTGGGGTGACCAGGCTGGCAGGGTAGGGGCAATTGGGGGTGACTAGGTTGGCAGAGGGTGGGTGGTTAGGGGCAATCAAGCAGGCAGTGGTCCTAGATTGTGAGAGGGATCTCAGGTTGGAAAGGGTACAGGCTGGGCTGAGGGGATAACCACCCCCGTCCCCATGCATGAATTTTATGCACTGGGCCTCTAGTGCAATAATAATAAACAACTATGTTATTGATTTATGTATTCACAATAGTATACTTTTGTTATTATTTTAGAGTGTACTCTTTCCACTTACTGAAAAAGCAGCTTGCTGCAACATAGTAGGCTGTGTTATGCTAGCAGCAGCCTCACACATCTCCTGTTTACTGTGTCTCTTGATTGCATCATTATCTCTTGTGCTTGATTTAATCTTAATCTTATGCTGTTCTTTGTACAGTAACATGCTGTACAGCTTGTAGCCTAGGAGCAATAGGCTCTTCTCTCTCTTCTCTATAGCCCTGGTGTGGAGTGGGCTGTGCCACCTAGGCTTGTGTAAGTGCACAAGGTTCATGCAATGATGAAATCACGTAACAATATATTTCTTAGAACATACCCCTTTGTTAAGTGGCACATGGCTGTATTTTTTCTATTCCATATTTTCCAATATCATGGTTCTGTTTGTTTAAACTACTGTCCTGTCCTATATATTTACTGTGTTTGCTCTAAGAGGTCTATATCTCCACATCTCTTTTCCTCTGCATTTGGCATCATTTACTACAACCTAAACTTTGTGTTAATGCCTTAATGTTTGCCATACTGATTCTCCTTCTGATTATTTTAGATTTAGTTATTAGTTTCTATAAAGATTGTTTTGCTTTCATTTTGCCTCCTTAGTTACCTTTTGTTTATCATCTCATCCTTGACCTTTTGTTTTATATTCTTTTTCAATTTTTAGTAAAAACAAAAAAAAAACATTTATTATGAAAAAATTTAATTTTTCAAAAAGTACTTTTTCTTCCCCAATAAAAGAGTATCATCTGTCTTTTGCATGCTGAGTTTCGCTCTGTTACTCATGTATGTGTGTTGGGAGGTGGAGGGAGGGGGAAGGAGAGGGAAAGAGGAACAGGGAGAAGGAAGAAAAAGAGAGAGAAAGAGGGAGAGAGAAAAAAGGAAATTGACTCATTGGCACTTTTCCTGAATGGTTGCCAAGTTGTTTCTTTGTTTAGATGCTTCATTTTGATGTGGACCTTCTTATAAGTTCTCATCATTTGCTCAACTACTGCTTGAGTAAATTTCTCTGGATTCTGCTTGCAGCAATCAACGTTGGCTCTGCTTATGCATCTCTGCCTCTCTGCAGAGCCTCAGTTTGAGTTGAGTGTTGTTTTGTTCTATTGCTGTTTTATTCTCTATGGCTTTTGGACAAGGGGGAGAAATATTGTACATGGCTTTTTTTTCTTCACTTCTCTAAGACTTTTGACAACTGGACACAGACATCAGTTTTCTATTGGTCACTTTAAGGGCTGGGTGGTGTGTGTGTGTGTGTGTGTGTGTGTGTGTGTGTACTGCCATGCTCTCATATGGTGCTAGTCGGTATGTACACTACAGCAGAAAATTTCTGGGGAACAACTTGGCAATGTGGATCACTGTTTTAAAGACACTTTTGACCCAGGAATTCCATGTTAAGAAATAGATTAGGAGTTAATCATGTACAAACAAGTCATCAATAGGATGCTGATTTTAGACTTATTTATAATAGAAAACCACTTAAAAACAATGCAAATTGTTCTAACAACAATGCAAATATCTAACAACAGGTACTCATTCCATAAATTATGGTACATAAATTCAATAAAATGTCTTGTAGCTATTAGAAATGATGTATATTTAAGTTAAGTATACAAAAAGGTTAAGTAGAAAACAGCAGTATACTAACTGGTAGAGCAAAACTATGTATGTAAACATATCACTAATCCCATCTAATAAAATAGTATATCAAAATTGACCATCACTCCAACACATAGGATGGCTATCCCCGTGTGAACACAAGATGGCCATCACAAGATGGCCAGTAGGGGAGGGCAGTTGGGAGGGACCAGGCCTGCAAGAAGGTAATTGGGGACAATCAAACCTGCAGGGGAGAGCAGTTAGGGGTGACCAGGCTGGCAGAGGAGAAAAGTTGGGGGCAACCAGGCCTGCAGGGAAGGGCAGTTGAGGGAGACCCAGGCCTGCAGGGCAGAGCAGTTGGGGGCGACCAGGCCTACAGGGGAGGGCAGTTAGGGGTGACCAGGCATGTAGGACAGGGCAGTTAGGGGCAATCAGGCTGGCAGGAGAGTGGTTGGGGGTGATCAGGCTGGTAGGCAGAAGCGGTTAGGGGCAATCAGGAAGGCAGGCAGGCAAGCAGTTGAGAGCCAGCAGACCTGGATTGTGAGAGGGATGTCAAATTGCCCATTTAGGCTTGATCCTAAACAAGCAGTTGGACATCCCTCGAGGGGTCCCAGTTTGTAGAGGGTGCAGGCTGGGCTGAGGGATACCCCCCCATGCAGGAATTTGTGCACCAGGCCTCTAGTTGTGAATAAAAGGCAATGCTGACAATGATTATATCTAGGTGTAGGGTTTTAAGTGGTTTTCATTGCCTTTTGTACTTTTCATAAAAAATAATGATCCTGAATTACTTTTATAATCAGAGAAATAGTAAGAGCAATAAAGCAACAAAGTAACCCCTTGAGAAACATATACTCCCTGCTATCACCTCTAGAATAATAGCAACTATTGAGTGCTCTTTGCCTGGCACCATAAAGGCCCTTAATTATCTAATTTAATGCTCACAGAAGCTCAATGAGGCAGAAATTAGTGTTTCAGTTCTCAGTTGAGGGATGGAAAGGTTAAACACATCTAATGGCACATGGTTCATGAAAGACAACGCCTGAATGTGAGCCCAGCTGAGTATGATTCAAAAAGGCATCAGCTTCCCAGTGCATCCTGCTGCCTCTGAGGGTTGTCCCATATATCTTGATGTTTTTACAAGTTACAGATTTAACAGATCATTACTCAAAGTTTTGAATACTGGTCCTTGTTTCTCAGTTTAATTATGAACCCGAAAAAGAACTCAGTGATAGAATAGACATACCAAACAAAGGACAGTATTTCAGAGGGAAGACAGGGGTGGGTGGGAAGAGATCAACCAAAGAACTTGCATGCATATATGCATAACCTATAGACAAAGACAATAAGGTAGTGAAGGCCCAGGGTGGGTTGGTGGAGAGAAGCAGGCTAGAAGGGGTCAATGGGAAAAAAGGGGACACATATAATACTTTCAACCATAAATATTTTAATAAGCAGAAGACATTAAGATTCACATTCTAATGTAAATCATTGAGCATTCTCTTTAATAGGTCATTAGGGTATAATTAACTCTTTCAAGCTATCAACTGAACAATTTAATGCACTAAAGAGACACTTTTTCTTTAAAATACTCTCATAATCTGAGGATTTCCTGAATTTTCATGTAACTTTACCCAGTCATTAGACAAATCATTTAGTATACTTTGATTTTGAAAAAATACAACTGTTTTTATCATAAACCTAAACTCCAGCTGTAGACATTTTCTAAATCATTAGCATTCTACACAGAATACAGCCCAATCAAATCAGTCTACTTCAATTTCGAAAACAGTAGCTAGTATTCAAAACAAGAACAACACAAATGAGAAAGCCTGAGAACAGACATATTAGGAACTGGATATTTAGAGGATTAGGACTAAAATAGTGATGAACAGAGTTTCAAACATCTCCTGGAATCTAGTTTATCATACTCTGTTACTATATGTAATACAACAAGTAACCAAGTTAAAAAAAACAAAAAACAAACTTAAAACAAAGTCAGTTAACCATCCTTGTTCCTCACCCCAAGAGCAACAATAATGAGTACTGAGGAATTTGAGGTTAGGGCAATAAAATTAAGGAAGAACCTGATTCTCAGAAGATACAATAATGACAGCTCATTTGGCATCAAGCCCTCATAAGAAAGATTCACAAGCATTTAATATCATTCACTGCCTTGCCAAGAAATAGAAATTTTAAAAAGCTGGAGTAGGACAAGGAATGTGTGATAAAGTAAAATGGTGACAATCATCATCATCATCTTCATCCTTTTCTTCCTCCTCCTCCTGCTTCTCCTCCAATATGGAGGTCATTATGAATGACAATTTGCCAATTAAGAATTGCAAACACAAAAACTCAGAAACTAAACTCTCAGTAGTAGTCAAAAATAGGCTTTCTTTGGAAAATTTCATTCAAGAGTTTTGATGCAGAACAATCTCAATCACTGCCTCCTTTCTATCAATAAAATAGTGCTGGGTCTGACAAGATAATATACACTTGTAAAATAAGTAACAATGAAGCACAAGGACTTGATGCAAACATAACATCCCTAGGCACAAATTCATAATCTAGGACAAAAACAAGTTCCTCAGTTCTGAGCCAGCCAACAGGAGAAATGCACAATTCTTCTTCACCTATTCCACTCGCCCAGAGACACACAAGAGCCCTCAGGAATGGCAGAGTATGGGATGACACTACCCTCTTAGTACCATGAACAGGAATCTCAAGAGATGATCCACTTGGTTTCTTTCTCTAGCGCAACAATCTCGACCAAATGGAACACTGAAGCTTAGATTCATCGTCACTGTAGTTTACAAAAGCAAACCTGGGAAAACCCTATCAGGGTCACACAAAAACATTTAACTTATTCCCACATTTCTGTGGATACAAGTCCATAGGTTATCTGCAAAGAATGCATACATTATTTAAAAGGGAACAGCTAAACAAATTGTCCCCAACAGAAATACAAATAAATGGATTAAAAACTGGCTAGCTAACCGTATATAGAGAGAAATCGTAATTGGTAGTCCGTCTAGTTGGGGAGAAGTTTCCAGTTGGGTCCCACAAGGATCGATATTGGGTCCCATTTTGTTTAATATCTTTATAAAAAATCTGGAAGACAAAGTAGAGAATGTGCTAATTAAATTGACTGATGCCACTATATGAAGATTGGTGGTTAAAGTAAAACTATATATAGATAAATGCTATTGGTCTTTAGAAAGACTGATGATCACAGAGAATAGGACTTCTAATTACTTGTATCTTTTTAGTGTATTAAAAAAAACTAATTCCCAGCCCAAGAAATAAATAGATTTAAAAGGTGTTAGTGGCTTTGTATAACACAATGGATAAAGACAATATAGACACAATAAATGGAGAAAATGCAGAGTGAAGAATGCCCCCACTAGAGGTATTTTTGGTGCAGCTTTACTTGGAGAACTGATGGCTATGGGTCTCTTAAAAATAATGCTACTGGAGGCATTTCAGGTATGTGAGAATCAACGTGGTGGAAAGGCAGGAGTAACTAAATTCTCAAATATGTATATACTCAGTTATTAGCAGACAAATAAACAACCTAAAACTTAAATGCAAAAAAGAGAGCTGAAAACTTGAAGACATAAGCAAGAAAAATTGATAACTTTAACCCAAAGCAAATTGTATAATATAAGGAAACACACACACACACACACACACACACACACACACACACACTCACACACACAAATAGGAGAATGCAAGGGATAATAGGAAGGACTCTTCTAACATTAGGAGTGAAACTTTTATTTCTATTTTTTATCTCTCTAGAAGACACTTGGGAAAAAGAAATGTTAAGTAGACCTCTTGTTAGTTTGAGGTTTATTTTAAAAATCTTAGTATTTTGCAATTTAATCTGTCCATTGAAGACGACTGGAAAGTGACATTGCTTGCCAGTCATGGACTCTCATGTAAACAGGTGGGTTTTTTTTTTTTAAGGTGAAAATAAAGACTCACAGGAAGTCAATACAGAGGAGAGATGGAAAATGTGAAAGCGTGCCTTGGGCTCCTGCGTGGCCGGGTTTCCACTTCCCCTCCTCCCTGACCTCAGCGCAGAGAGCACAGTGTAAGGCTCACTTTGGATGAGCTGACTCGCAGCTCCCATCTCTAGGAAACCATCAAGAGAAACATGAAAAAGCCAGTCCCCTGACTACTGACTGATTTTTCCAAAGCAGCCAACAACACTTAGCTGATTACAGGTGCCCCATCTTTGGACAACAAAAAATAACCTAAGAATTACAGCTCAAAAAAAAGGGACATTATTGATTTAAAAAAAAAAAGAAGAAAAAAAAAGAGTGGCACTATTTGCACAAAAGAAAGCTCTGTGCAGTCAGAGCCCAATGTAGGTCTCCCTAATCTTTCATGTTGGGGTCAAAAGGAAACCAGGGGCATCTGGAAGGCTAGCCGGTCACCTTTTTGTTTTAATCTAATCAAGGCAGCTGTGAACATTCTGACCTAAGAAATGACTGATAAAGTTTGAAGTAGTTCATGTGCTGTGGATTTTAAAGCTAATACCTGCTGGTGATACATGATTTCCTTGCTTTGACTTGACAACTTCTGACCTGAAATATTTCTCCGCAGACGATTCCCTCTTTTAGGGATGGGACTGCATCCTATATGCTATTCATGGAAAATATATAAACAAGCTTTGCCAACAGGCCTGGATGGATAATATCTACTGTTTATAACATTTTAATATTTTTCCATTTACTGAGTGCATACCATGTACTGGGGGACTATGTTACACTCTATACAGTATCAAAAACACTCTTCATAAAAGACTATGAAAGAGGAATTAACCCTATTTTACAGATGGGGCAACTGAAGGTTAGCGAGACTCATTTTCTTTTGCCTATTGTCACACAGCTATTAAATGGAGAGTAAGTCTTGCATTTGGCCTCAAAATATTTTTTTACTAACATTGTGCTACATGGTAACTCCTGCTGTGCTAATGCTATGCTTGGTGATCAAAGAAAGTGCAGAAATCACTTGTCTTAGAGAGTTTAAGAGTAAGACAAACATTGTTTCTGGGCTCAGGTTATCATACATAAAATCAGGGAATTGGACTAGAGCAGGGGTCTTTAGCTGGGTGATACTGACATGCTGGGAGGGACAATCTTTGTTATGGGGGACCTGCATGATACACCATCACTGTTCAGCAGCATCCCTGGCCTGGATCTACTAAGGACCAGAAGCAATCCCCTGCCCCCTTTTTTGATACCCCATAATGTCTGCATGCCCTGAGATCCCTGGGCATGACTGCCTGTGTTTTGGTCACTGCACCAGAAGAAGTTGAGGTATGTCTATTGTTCTCTCATATTCTATATTTTGCATTGTGGGTCTACTGTCAGCCAAGAGGACCAGTTTTTTCACCTCCATCTCAGTCCCCTGAATTTAAAACCATCAGTTTGCTGTCAAAATGCCACTCTCTGGGTCTTAAATTTGTCATTTAAATGCAAATTGGTCTGAAAAAAAATTGGAGATATGAAAGTTAAAAAAGATCAGATGGTATTTAGTTAGCTTTGCATTAGGCAATTGATTTAGACTCATTTCAAATGGCAGGGCTATGAGATAGTTTTTATTTATTTATTCATTTTCTTTTCTTTATTAAGGTCACTGTAACAGGACAATCATAAAATGGGTTTAAATAGCACAGCCTGAGAACCACAATGCTACATTAGAATCTATTGACAGTTTTCAATAAATGAAACCTCAGACACTGGAAAGAAGCTGACAGTTTCCCAGACCTTGGTTCATTGGCTTTCAAGGGCCATACTGAAGAACTGCATCCTTACAAATAATGTCAACCAGGAAAGGAGTGCCTTTGGTTAGAGAATAGCCCATTAATCATCAGACCTATGGATATGTGGCTACATTAGTGAGCCAGCAGCTTTCACTGGATTTGCTCCAAAACTCAATGACAGATGTTATTTATGGTCTTCCATCCTTGGAATTAAACTGATGTTCCAAATATTAGAACATCAATTAAATAATCAGTGGTATGGTTAACAGTTCCAGAGGTTTAAAAGGATTACTGTCTTCCTGGTTCCAACAACTCTGAACCACGATGCTTAGGCATACTCCAGGGCAATCAAATGAGAATTTCTGGAGAAGAAACCCAGCCTTCAATATTTTTACTGCTCCCTAGTCATTCAACCAGGTGCTGAAGGCTGAGAATTATTGCCTTAAAGAATGAACCAGTTTACAACTGGGAATTATTTTTTGCCTATGCCTGATGTAAGCAAGATAGTGGCCTCCTGTAGCCAAATGCTTCAGTGATTTTAAGTGGCACATGTGCAAGGCATTCAGTAATTATCTGTCACTTAAGGAGAAAATGATTCTTTTCTCTCCTTCTCCCTGCCCCTCCCCCCCTGCTTCTTCTGATGACTTCAAAGAGGAAGTCTCAGTTTGCTGCTGGTAAGTCTTAAATACATCTCTGTACTTACTTATCTCCCTTCCAAATCCAAGAACACGTAAAGCTCAGGCCCAGAGCCTGCATCTATATAGCCTAGTATTTAATCACATCATTAAATTATTTATTTATTTATTTATTTATTTATTTATTTATTTATTTATACCTAAGCTTATCTTTTAGCAAGTAATACTGATTTATGTGATATGGAATTTCCTTTTTAAATAAATTTAAATAATGTGAGTAAAATTAAAGAGATATAACGTAAATAATAGCACACATCATACTCATATATTGAAAATGTCACAAAGGTGGTTTTCAGGTGACTGTGGTCTTGGCAACCCTAGGGTTAAATAAAGGGCATCTAAATGTGTCACAGATTTGGATTGTAATTGTGCCTCCATCGCTAATTATCTTCATGATTTGTGGAAAATTACCCATTCCCTTCCCTGGGCCATGGTTTCCTTATCTGCTAAGCAAGACCTTTGGCCTATATTGCTGGCATTCTTCTATGAGTTTAAGAAGCAAGGAAGGCCTGCCGCCGCATTTACCTTGTTGACATCCAGGCGCATCTTATCACTGTTGGCGCTCGCCCTCTCGGCTGCTTTCTTTTGGCGTTGGGGTCCCCTCCCAAAGAAGATGTAGTTGACCAAAGCATATTCCAGAAGGGCCATGAATACAAAGACAAAGCACCCCATCAGGTACATGTCAATGGCCTTCACATAGGGGATTTTAGGGAGAGTCTCCCGGAGGTGAGTATTGATGGTGGTCATTGTAAGGACAGTTGTAATTCCTGGAAAAAGAAAAAAAGAGAGTTAGAATAATAATGCTCCGGTGTCCTTGCTGCTCTCATTACAGCTGGAAAGATTACTGTGCTCTTTTAGTCATTCATATATGCCACAAACTATTTACTGGGCACTTATTATAGCCCAGCTCTGTGACAGGCCATGGAGATATGCACAAATTATCTATTTATCATAAACATTAATTGTTTACAATCCTCCGTTAGTTATATGTACACATTACAGTTATATATCTAATGGAAGGGGGTTGAAAAGTGAATTAAATGCTGCTGTGTTAGATACCAGTAGGCTGTGTGTTGAGAATATAGAGGAAACACAGATTTTGGAGCTCCATTTTGAAGAATGAGTGGGAGTCATCCAGACAACTCAGGACTGAAGATCAAAAGTGAAGTTAAAATTAGATGTAAGGGCGTTGGTGGTGGAGAGAGCTTTCTGTGTGGAGTGAAGGTATACAGTTCACTGAAAGACTCTCAAAAAGTCAACGTGGGTATGTGAAGATATGGTGGGAAGAATGGTGAGGAGAGTGAAGGTTAAATAAGAGCTACTTCATGTAGGGTCATATATACAGAGCCTGGTGAGGAATTTGAACTTGAACTTATAGGCAATGTGGGGCCACTGGCCAGTTTGGAACAGGGAGATATAGGGACAAATTTTGTTTATGATAGTCACTCTGATAGCTATGGGGGTGGATATAGTGAGGCATACAAGTCAGGAATAAAGAACACTCTTTAAAAGTGTTCCCCCCCCCCCAGAATAATTTGTTAGAAAGGGGAAATAAAATAATTACAACAGTAGAAAAATCAATCACTGCATTTTATAGATGAGATGGACAAATGATTGTAAAAATGTGGAAACTGCAGAGGAGGATAATAGAGAAGTTGAAATCTAACCTTCATGTTCCTAGGTGGGGCATCGATGCATGTAATACACAGATAATTATACAGAAGTATTACAAGATTCCTTATGGAAAATGCCACACTAAGTGATGGCATTTATAATTATAATTATTCATCTAGCTGTGTAAGCACCTCTAACTGGGGGGAGTAGTCTCCCTCAAAGGTGTAATTGGAGGGGTAGACATTGCTACACAGGAAAAAGCACGGGGTCCAGAGTCCCTCGTAGGATAAATTCCTTGTGAAAATAGGCAGAGCTCAGAGTCAAGATCTCACAGGTGGGAGGTTAGGCAGTAAACATGTGAACAGGGACCTCTCCGACTCAGAAACCTGTGTCCTTAAACACTACCTAGTTAACACATCCCAGAAGTTAAGTTTCATTTCTATCAATTTTTTTTTGGAACGTAAGTTTCCTGATTTAATTTTCTCTCTCTAATAAGATTATAATTTTCGTCTTGTTTTTATACATGATCCTAAAACAAATATAGAAATTTTTTTTTAATAAATATGCTTTTCTAAAAATTGATTTTAAACAGAGAAGAAGGGAGAAAAAGAGAGGGAGAGAAATAGAAACATCAATGAAAGAAAAACATCTATCAACCACTTCCTGCATGTCCCTCACTGGGAATCGAGCCCACAACCCAGGCCTGTGGCCTGACCAGGATTTGAACCAGTAACCTTTTGGTGCATGAGTCGATGCTCAACCACTGGGCAACACTGGCTCAGCATAAAAATAAATAAATTTGAGCACCTGATTCTGAACAAGACCAGAAAAACCCTGGCCTTGCTTTAGAGCTAGGTGTCTTATAATTCTCAGATTTTTCTTTTTTATTACAATATTAATCTTTTTGAAGCATTTCCCAATTTTATTTTTCTCTTTTTTATGTTAACCACAGATTATCCTGTATGTCATGTATATCATAAAACTGACAATCCTGATTTTACTATTTATCTAAATCTCATTTTAAGGCATTTCTGACCTAGTAATGAATTATTCACACAGGGAGATGGATGAATTGGGGGAAAAATAAAGAGAGTGAGAACTCATGGATATGGACAACAGTGTGGTGATTGCAGTGGTGGAGGGTGGGGTGGAAGAGGCTATAGAAGGGATGAATAGTGATAGAAAAAAATTAAATAAAATTTATATAAATAAGTAAGTAAATTACTTATTATTCCTATTATAGACATAAAATAGTTAACAAATATTCAATTTGAAATAGATATTTACAAATTTCATTCATTCCTTTACTCAGCAAATATTCCCTGAACATCATTTTCTATGAGAGACACTATAGATGTAATGGAAGCAAAATTAGATATTGACCTTTCTCCAAAGGATCTTCCAGTACCAGGAGGAAAATGACATCACAAACCAAAAGAATGCATAACAGTGGCTGGCCTACAGATGAAAGCTCTCTAGCACTTTAAGAGGTTAAGGCACGGGGACCTGACTCAGAACAGGATGTTATTACTCTCCCTTCCTCCCCAGAACTACTACAATCTAAGCTCAACCCAGCAGCCAAAGTGATTCCTTCAAAACTGAAATCAAATCATGTTACCTCTTTGCTCAAAAACTCTGTTGCTCAGCATAAAAGTGAAGCCTTTATCATGGCCCCCAAACCACCTCGTAATCTTTTCGTCCCCTCTCACACACACTGTCCTAGCTCCTGAGCTCTCTCTGCATTTGCCTCGCTGCCACCTCACTGATGTGCTCATGGCCTGGAATATTCTTATCCAGATAACTGTGGCTTTTCATCTTCTTCAAGTCTGTTCCATTGACAATTTCTGAGTAAATTATTCTACACTGATTATTCTACACTGTGCACCCTGGCATCACCAACCTCCCTTTGCTTATTTCCTGCAATAGACTTACCATATTATATAATTTGCATGGCTATTCAATTTATTGTCTATCTTTTGCTGCTGGAACATAACTTCCAGAAGGGCACGGGTTCATCTCCAGTGCTGAGAGTATCTGGCATGGCACATAGTAGGCATTCAACAAGTACTTGTTGAATGAATAAATAAATGACTTCTTCAAGGAAGTAACAATTGCATTGAGATCTCATGGTGGAGAAGTTAACATTTCAAAATTGAAAGGAATTAGTTAGGACTCAAAATAATAAAGATTGTGTAGAAGGTCATAAATTTACTATATCTGGAGTTAGCAACATAAAAATGTCCATGAAGTAGAATTTATTATATCTCTTTGGTTGTATAACAAAAGAAAAACCAAACATTAGCTAACTGATGCTATACGAAATTTTTGCTCAGTTTTCTCCTGTCCCCTGCCATTTCAGTCCAAAATATTCATAAGACTTTAGACTTCTTTCTGCTTAGCTACTTTTTACACAACTACATTTTCCTGTTTTTTTTTGTTTTTGTTTTTGTTTTTGTTTTTGCTCAGAAAACAAAAAGATGGGAGGGACATCTACCCAGGTAAAGAAGCACAGATAGAAATTTAATAATTATCAAATGATATTACATGAATTATGCTTCAATAAAAATATCACATGGATGGGACTAATTACATTACCAACAGCTATCTAGTTAACTAATTTTTGACATGAAAGAGCTTTAATATGTGTTTAATTGATTTAATGCTGGATCAGATCATCCAAAGTCTCAGAGTCAAATCCTTGTAATATGTGCAGTTTGGTTTCATCATGTGTTACAAATTCCAGGGAAGAAAAGTGCGTTTCTGGACACAAACGCACGCATGCACACACACGCACAAGCACGCACATGCACCCACGCACCCACGCATGAGTCAAACTCTGCAAGCAGACAGAAAATGGCCTACCTAATGCCACTCTTGCAGCTGAAGCATCGTAATTAATCCAGAAGGAGACCCAGGAGAGGATAGTGATCAGGATGGAAGGCATATACGTTTGCAGAATAAAGTACCCAATGTTTCTCTTCAGCTTAAAACTGAGGGACAACCTGGGATAGGAACCTGGAAAGGCAATTTTAGAATATCATCATTAGCATTCTATACTCCTAGGATACTTTACTTTAAAGGCCCCTAGGTAGTCTGTATATTTTCCTAAATTCAAATCTAGCTCCTGGTGAAGAGCAAGCACTTTCTTCTGCAAAAGTTGTCTGAGAACACTGGGTTTTTAATTAGCAAGATTACATCCCACCGTCATCGGTCATTAAAAGAATTCCCGGTTTTCTCTGCTTGGGCTCATGTACTGGATCAGAAGGTACTCATTATCTACAGCTGTGATGACAAGACAATTTGGGACAGTCCCTTTGTTCCCCCTCAATTGTTTCTCAGCAAGCCCACCCATTAAGATTTTTTTTTTTTTAATATCAGAATCAGGCTGCATACCCTGATGCTAGTAAAGAATGGCTAGTTCTTCACACACAAAGCCCCAGTATAGTTTTAAGTCTGGATCAAGTCTGTACTTAAGGCAATGCAGCAACTCCCTGAATTTTCAGGATGGTTTTCAAGTGTAGGCATTATTTTTTTTTTCTTCTAAAATCAGTGTATTTATCAAAGTTCTGAAGCAGGAGTGGGAAACGTTAGCCCATGGGCCACATAAGGCCCACAAAATAATTTGTTCTGGCCCTGTCAAGGCATTATGGTGAGTTAATTAAATGTTTGACCAAAAAGAGCAGGCTAATTTTTTCGTTGATCATTTTCTGTGGCCTGCGAATGCTGTCATAAATATCCAAATGGCCTAGGCAGAAATAAAGGTTCCCCACCCTCGTTCCAAAAGGCATCCCTGACCTACTCAAAGGTGGAGAATCACTATTCCTGAGCAATATCTGTAGGAGATACATCTAAAGCATCACATTCCTGAAGCGGGGTCCTTTGTGGTGATCTGGGGTTTACACTTTAGATGATATATGTAACAGAACACAGCCTTAGAACATAAACAGTTCACACTGATAAATCATGTCTTAATGTGAAAGTAAGAGTATTTTATGTAGGAACTCATTTCTACAGAGTTTTAGCAATTCAAAGAACTTCACACTTAGGAAAAGTTTCAGTTATTATTGTTCTTTTTTTATAGCAAAAAGCTACACTGTATTCTTACTAAGTTATGCAACTCTTGCCTGAAGTTGTTTGTAGGGACAGGAAGTACCCGAATCAGAGAGGAAATCTCAAAATTTACCATTATAAGGCTATTTCCATGTACGGGATTCACTCCAATGAGACATATTCCTGTGGGCTTATTATTTTTCCTTTTAATGAACGATGTAGCAAATTACCACTTTACTGGGATTTCTTGTTAAAAATTTGTGCTGATGATATCAAGTTTGACAACCTAAAAACCTCAATTCGAGTAGAGTAAGGGCAGCAAAGGCATCAGGATAATTTAAGGATCTAGAAGGGTGTTTACCTGCAAAACAGGGGGCACACTACATAAAGCAATTCCTGTCCTCTGGGGGAAATGTGAAATTCTCCTACCCTACTCTCTTTCGCTGTGGTCAGACTTGAGTGAACTGTGACTTGGTTTATTCCCAGAGTGTTTGAAAGAATGAGGATCAATTCTGTGAGATGCATAAAATCAAGGGAATAACTGACCCGGGTCTTCATTTCTTTCTCTATTCTGTCTACGACAATGATGGTCAATGAGAGACACAGCACTAAGACTCTCAGTGCTGCAGGGGGTGCCTTCAGGAAAATAACTGGATGGGCTGCAAATGAGCAATGAACTTGATGGGGACGTGAGGGTTTTCAGCAGATCTCAGTCTTCTAGAGTCACTATCCTTCCCAGGGACCCGATCCAGAAATAAGTGACCCCTGTTTATAAAGGATGATGACTCTTTTACCTTAATCCTCTTCCCTGATACAAACCTGTGGAGAAAACAACCTTTTTGGTGATGAGTTTGTAATCTACAATGGAGAACTGTGGAAGTTCGATCTTTGTTACTCCCGTTACTGCTTTATCTTCCCCACGCCAGTAAAACTCAATGTCGTCAGTGGTATATCCATCTGTAAAGAAAACATATACACACATACAGATGCACAAAATGAAAAACAGACAAAACAGACAGAATAAAGTTTAGTAGATGAATTTCATAAATGATAATAGCTACCGTTAGAGGGTATTATTATACGTTAGGTACCTCAAGTATATTAGCACATTTAATCCCCACAACAAACTCATGAGGGAGGCATAATTAGCCCCCCAAAAGGAATCACAGGCTTAGAGAAATTAACAGCTCACATTAAGTCTTGCATAGTTAGAAAGTGGCATAGTTAGAACTTGAACCTAGGTTTATCTGAGTATGAATCTCATTCTCTCAAACACCATATTATTATATAACCCTGATGGCACTCTCAGAGAAGACAAAAGAAGAGGAACATCATTTAAGTTATCAGTACAGCACTGAATGCTATTGCTATCAAACTTCCCCCCTCCGTATAAGATATTTGAATTATAATATTTGAGTTTCATGTCAGAAGAGAAATGATTATTAAGAGAGTCACTAATTTGTTAATACTCATAGATATGACCTCCAAATTTGATTTTGTAGTATATCTGAATTTCAAAATTCTCTCTAAAACAAACCTCAAAACAACGTTGATTCTAATAGTTTTAAGAAATAAATACAAATGTATAGTGTATACTATAGATGCAAGGTTTATTTAGAAGGTATGCTTCCGTTCATTTGACAACTATTTACTGAGTATCTATTCTGCTCATCAGTGAGCAGATGCTGGGGATAGGACTCTGTACAATAAAGACGTGTCCTCTGTTATAATGATATTTCCAATTCACGGGACAGAGTAGAATAAGGACACATATTCTAATAAGTAAGTAAACATATAACTGCAACATATAAGCACATATTAGATCCTAACAATGCTGTACAAGGAAGCATGCAATGAAATCCAGTGAATATGGATACTATATATACTAATCCCCCACAACCTCCATCAAAGCATATATTATCTTTGTGTATCCTAATTGTCTCTTCAAAGAACTTTTGTATCTTGATAGTTGAATTTTTAAAGTATAGGAAACAGTAAAGATATTGTCTCCCAATTTCAAAAGCAATGAAATAAATTAAAAAATTACCCAAGATTTTTTGCCTTTTGACATGTGACTAGCTAGCGTAACACTGAGGACTAGAATTACAATCCTCTGACTCTTAGTACTTATGGTTTTGAATAAACCACATTGCCTCTAAAGAGACTCAGAGAGTCAGATCTCCAAAAAAGCGAACAGAAATATTTTTTCAAAGAACTGCAATGCCCTAGATTTGAACATTTATATAAACCATACACAGCTCAGGCAGTGTCTTAACTTTTCTAGAAATCTGCAGTCCTCCTTATTCATAGACGCAATGCTGCAGTAATACAGATTTTAGGAAGTGTTATTGAGACTTGAACTTCTGGTTTTGCATCTATAGGTTTCTGGATAATAGCTAATGATTTTGAAAAGGCTTGTTTAATTGAGAACATCATAAATTATATTGTAATTAAAATTGGAGTTTCATTATATTATAAACTACCAACATTTTTATTAGCGTGATCTCATTCAGAGTCCTTTGTTTTGTTAGACAATGTCTTTCTGCATATATAACTTTGATTTTTAAAGCAAAGTCCAAGGGAACGGCATAGTAAACAGATTCTCAGAAAAGAGCTTTTTACTCCCCATTAATCTACCTCATCATATTCTTTAACTTATCCTCAGAACGGGGTATCTGTCCTAAAAGAGAACTTTCCTAATATGACCCTGGGGACCCTCACAGTTCAGAGCTTCCTCTCAAATATAATCTAATTTCTCATTTGTCATTTGCACACATGTCTGTTATGAAATTGTTTTAAATCAATGACAATCCCACTTTTGATAAAACAGTTTAAAATAGAAAGAAAAAATAAATTTGCTCAGAGAATGAACCTCGATAGTTAGAAATGCATTACAAAATCGAACCTGTGGTATATAAATATAAATAAAGGTATTTATTAAACCAGAAGGCAATCGTGTTGTGTGTGTGTGTGTGTGCGTGTGTGTGTGTCTCTCTGTGTGTGTGTGTTTAATAAAAGCTTTTGTCAAATGCGGCCATCTTCAAAAGAAGAGGTTGAGAGGAAACTCTCACCATTTCCCATAGAGGATTAAGTCTAACCTGGTGAGGGGTATATTTCTGGTCCTGCAGCTTCCTCTCTTCAGTATCTACCTTCTTCGTCCAGCACCACAAAGCTAACAGCAGCTCTCTGCAGGCAGAGGCACCAGCTATGGCCCTGGACTACAGTCATCATCATCATCACTATTCATAGAGTTATTTTTGCTGAAAAACTGAGTTGCTACTTGTAAAATACAATGTTTAACAAGGTTAGCTAGTACCTTCTTTTCAATACCTTTGCTGTTATTTCATGAGCAAATACATGGATGTGCACAATGAGAAACCCAGCTGTTCAATCAAGGACACTTACAGAACTCTCCAAAATGTTTGGAAATTATAATAAAACATTTAAGTTTATTTTGATATTTAGGATTTTGGAATCTGACACCAGAGAGCAATGTGTTGTGTATACAACTTGGTTAGTGCTGGTCTTAAAAAACCAAATCTTCTTGACTTCATTTTGGTTTAACCTAGTATAGAATATTTCAAATGGAAATATTTCGATGTGCTTGCATCATCGATTTCTGAAGATGAAAGACGAACAATCCCTGACAGTGCCAGGATGGTCAAGTTCAAAGCTAGCTCAGATACTGTGTGGATTACCTAAAAGCAAACCTAGTTTTCGTTTTCTTTGAATTTTCTCTGGAGGAACAGTGAGCAGTCTTTCAAAGTGATTAAAAAATAAAACATATGCAAATATATATGACCTGACTTTTACAGCTTTCATAATAATAATGAGAATAATTAGATTTCTTGTAAAATATATCAGAAGGGGGGTGGTGCACAGGACATCTTCATTAATGTCTTGCAAATTAAATTCATCTTTTATATTTTATTCATGGGATTCTAGAAACTGAGTCATTAAATTCTATTGTATTCTTATTATTAAAACCATAACCCAGATAAATTCAGATGGCCTATGAGTAATCCAAAATACAAATTTATTGGAATTTACTTGGAGGACTTAAAAACTGTATAAAATGTTACAAGTCTCAGATGAGGATAAATATGCAAATCTATATAAGACATGAATGATAAATAAGCTATCTTTCAAATATTGATAAAAACAACCTATATAATAAAACAGTAATATGCAAATTGACCATCACACCTTTGTACAAGATAGCTGCCACAAGATGGCCTGCAGGGGAGGGCAGCTGTGGGTGACAGGGCTGGCAGAGAAGGGAAGTTGGGGGAAACTGGGCTGGTGGGGGAGGGAGGGAGGGGGTTGTGGAGGGGGGTCAGTTGGGGTAATTGGACTGGCAGGGGAGCAGTTAGGCACTGATAAGGCTGGCAGTAGAGTGGTTAGGGGGTGATCAGGCTGGCAGGCAGAAGTGGTTAAGGGCAATCAGAGAGGCAGGCATGCAAGCAGTTGAGAGTCAGCTGTTCTGATTGTGAGAAGGATATCTGACTGCCAGTTTAGGCCTGATCTCTGTGGGGTCCCAGACTGGAGAAGGTGAAGGTTGGACTGAGGGACAACCCCCACTCCCAAGTGCATGAATTTTGTGTACTGGGCCTCTAGTCTATTATATGAGAGGTAAGGAGTAAAAATGCCATTTTAACAATACTCACTAACTGAACACGTTCTCAAAATTATGGCATTTTCTTATTACATAAGATGGCATTTTAAAACTTTTTCTCTCTTAATGTCAGTCTGCATGTCTACTTTGTTATCTACTAAATAAATATTTCTTTTTAGAAGAATTTACTGTACAAAGGATAAGAACTTACCAAGAAATTAAACAGTGGTGACTGGTGACGTCATTTTTTTTTCAAGAGGAAAATTAAAATTACTTTTTTTTCCCCTGGCTACTTATTTAAACTTAGTTCCTCAAATCATCTGCTGAGTATTGTAGAGTAATTATCTATCTCCCAGTGTATCTAACATAGCAATCATCATACAATAGCACAGTAGTTGGTTTAACCTGTTAATTCTCAGTCATCACATCAACTTCTGACAATTGAGAATTATGGGTTGGGAATAATTCACACTGTGATAGGTGGTTTATATATTTTTAAAGAACTATCTTATCTCTAATTCCCTGCCTTTTATATTTCCATCACAGCACTTTAAAAATGTTTTTGAATTGAATACCTCATTGTAAAAAAAAAAAATTAATGTATTACTGCCTTATTAGCATTTAAAATTCTATCGGTTTTTAAATATCTACTAGTAAAAATTTATGTTCTGAGGAACACTAAGCCTGCATCACATGCTTCATGGAAGAGGCTTCTTCAGTCCACATATTGCTGAGTCACTGCATATTGTGGCCCCCTCTTATAGTTACAAACATGTCACAGAATTTAGGAAATCCCACAATAAACAATTTATTTAACTTTACTTACCACTGGAATTTCCCAAACCTATTGACCATATGCATTTTACTTTATTTTATTTTTTTTAGGATATAAAACATGCCCACCCAGATGTGTTCCATAAATTGCTGGAGGTATTCATACATTTTAGGGTGATTTATTAATGTTCCCCGAAAAGCCAGGTAAACCCTTGGGAAGGCTTATTACTCCCCAGAAACTCAGCTTGCTTCTTTAGCGGATTAAACATTTTTTTCATCTAAAAAACATTTGCAAATAACAGAGATCAAATTGTCTTTTTTTCCATTTTTTATTAAGGTATTATAAATGTACATATCTCTTACCATTGCGCCCCCCCCCCCCCCACTCCCATAAATGCCTTCACCCCCCTGAGTTTTGCATCAATTGTCTTTTAATGTAACAAGGCAGACAGACATCTCTGGAAAGCAGCACAACTGGATGTAGGAAGGTGAGCATTTTCAAGACTCACTCCACAGTCAGATCCCACTCCGCTCCACCAGAGGCCCGTGTGCTGTGCAAAGGACAAGA